ATTTAAAATCAAAGGAATCTGTTTTAGCATTTGTAGATGAAGCTAAACGTAGGAAAAATGTGCAATTATCTGTTTACTAAGAAAAGACAGCTACAAAATGTAAAGCAATTTACATATAGAAGTTTAGTTTCAGATATAAATGATTTTTATTATTATATTTGTTAACATTTTCATATATAATTATATTTTTAGATAGGTGAAAATGAAACAGAATCAGCATTAAATGTAGCTAAAAAAAAAAAATATATAAAAATCTTAAAAAATACCCTTTTCATATTCAAGGATGCCTAATAGCAGAAGATGGTTAACATTTAAAGTTGAATAGTGAATCAATTACACTATGGGCTCGTGCTATGGTAAATAAAGATTGTATTATAAAATCTAATCTTTTTAGTCTACTATATTATTATAATAATTTATTATTTATATAGGTAAGCCAAATAAAGGTTGTGAATGAAAATATACCACCACTAATGCCAATTTTTGATAAAAATAAATAACGATTTTCAAACTCTAAAAAAGTTTCCCCTACTGAGATTTTAGATTCAGGTAATATATTATAATGAGTTTATTGATTTTTTTTAATATAATATACATGATTCTCATATTATTAGTTTTTTAGTTTTATTTATGACACAATCAAATGATATTACACAATCAAATATCATCACACAACTAAATATTATTATGCAGTTAAATAGTATTATGCAATCAATATTTCATTCAATAACCTTTCATCTTAGAAAAAAATCACCTTTTAAAGAAAATATTCATGTAACAAAAGGCATGACTTTTTCTGATCTTATTAATTTTGTTTTTCCTGCTAGATCATCAAAAGATAAACGTTTTATTTTTAAATTATTTTTTGAGGCAGGTGAAAAGCAATTTTTATCTGAACAGATTATGCATAATATTTTTTATAAGGAATATGCTAATGTAGAGATTGATATGGAAAAAATAATTTCAAATTATGATGATCTTTTTGATTAATTTCTTAACAATTACATGTGCACATATGCTATTGTAAATAGTAATAAATTTAAATAAATCAAATTATATGTTGAAAGTATTGTTTACTATATTTTTATAATTTTCATTTATTATATAAATCTATTTTTAAAATAATAATTATAAATATCCAACATATTCAAAACATGCTTTAGCCAAAGTCTTACCAATCGTTATACAACTAAAATTTAATGCATCTACTGGATTTTCTACAGATTTCACCCAATCGCGATGTTGACGTAAATAATTTTTGATATAAAAAAATGCTTGCTCAATCTACAATAATACAATCAATTAAAAATTATAATATCAAATGGAATAACTAAATTCTTATATACTGGACTGTAATTAGGAGAATAGGGGGTAAAAATTCAAGTCGTATTCCTTTTTCTTCACAAATATCTCATAAGTATTAACTTTTATGTATAGTTGCATTATCTAAAATTAAAATACTATATTGTGCAGAATATAGTAACATTTTTGGCAGCTTATTATAAAGAATACATTAAATGTATTAAATTTTATATTGTTTTAGCATGAAAATTTGTTAAAAAGAACATACCAAAATATTTTCAATAAAATATTCATAATCATCAGATTTCATTAATCCTTCTTGAATGCTATATGCTAATAGACTATTTATACACAATGCACCTTCAATTGTAAATCTCTGTTCTCTAACAAAAAATGTAGCTTTTCTTATACAATATTCACTAATATTCCATTCATACCAGTATGATAAAGTTCTCCTATCATAAGCTGATTCATCAGAAAAAACTAATTGATTGAGTGAATACTGAGACATATGTAAAATAAATTCTGCACGTTCATTTTCTTTTCTCTCTTAGGCGGGTTTAAATAATTACAATACATAGTATATATAATGATTAGAATATAAATAATAAATACAAAATATTATTGTTATAAAATTTTAATTATACTTATTTATGTATATATCTAAGGCGATGTATTACTCTCCATATTATATTGAGATCAAGGCTTCGTTCTAATCAAAGTTCCATTTGAGATTGCAATTTCTAAATATACTAATCTACTTTTTCTTTGAGAAGTACTTCAAGATATTTTATATCATCATTTTCAAAAATTCTTGATCTTTCACGCAAAGTTAAAATATTTTTTACACATCTGTATTTTTTAAAAAGATAATGAATGTGATGTACAGTAAATTTGCTAATTCTTAAATGTTTAATGATTTGGCATTCTAATAAACCTGACAATGATTTTTTAACTATTTGCTAACGGGTATACATAGATAGTTTAGTCATGATAAAAAAAAATAAAGTCTATATATTTGTTTATTTTTCCTACGTTTAGCTTCATCTACAAATGCTAAAACAGATTCCTTTGATTTTAAATTAAAATGATCGGCTCCTACACCTTTAGATAGCTGATAAGAATAAAATCCTATCTCAATTTTTCTCCATGTTTTCGGAAGTTCTTTAGAAAGAATTGGAAGCTGTTAGTAAGATCAATGGTACAAATGTCACCAACGGTATCTTCATTAATATCTAAATTAATTATTATTTTTTCACTACCCAATCCGATCTAGATTTAATTTTCCTTGGTTGATTCAATGCTTTAAAAAATTAATAAAGATAAATAATAGCTCATAATCAACACAAAAAAAAAATTTATATAAAAATATAGAACACGTACTTTTTTGTAATAATCAAATTTATTAATACATTTTCTGCAAACGTTTGCATCATGTTGATCCTCTGATATTTCCAAATCTGGTGAAATATTGCTATAAAACCAATCAACAAATACATTGTCTAACTTTATCTTTTTGTTTTCTGGCCGCAACCATATCAAGTACTTGTGACGGAAATCAATTTTATATTCACTGCTCTTTCGTTGCCATTTCAGTTCCTTAGGAGGACAAATACAGTTTTTGCCATATACTTCCGTGCATATTAAACAAGTTAAGCATAAAGGGCAAGCATTTGGACGATATTGTAAAGGGTTTATTTGTGCCATTTTTATAAACAATATACAATAGCGTTAGAGAAAAAAATTTTAAAATAAATGATATTTAAAATTAGTGTTACATGTCACGAATTATTGTTTATTGTTTACACCATTACACACGTGACACATAGAAAATTAATTCAGGTCTGAATTACAGATTTTGGCCAGAGTTACTGCTGATCATTTATAATCTTGTGCGTATGACTGCGTATGAAAAAAATTTATCTCCGGAACAAAAATAAACCGGGTGGTCCAAAAACTATAAGAATAGCTGTAATATGGTGGTTATTTTTTTGTCCTCACCTCTTTCGGGTGCGATCACTTCGGTAATTATTATTTTTTTTTATTATCACGTTTTTCGAGTTCGGTTGCATTGATTAAATAAATCTCGATATATTCGATATTTTCTTTCTTTATTTAATTTTACTTAATTATTTTTGCAAAGGTTTCTACAATTCCGGCTTCGGGTTGCGTTGAATAAGTATTTCAGGCTCGATCGTCTCAGGCGCAGCGATGAACATTTTATCCAGGTCCTTCTTGAATTGCTTCTGAAAATATTAGTTAGGTAAGGTGATCTTCCTTATTTTCTTTATTATATTTTCTTTTTATGGATATCGAATAATGCTGTGACAGCGAGGCGATAACGAATTTTTAAATTACACCTCCGGGCCTTCCTAATTATATATTTGATTAATTAATTGGCAATCTCCGGATGAAACAAACGGTCAAATGTTCGGTCGGAACCGCGAAGCCTTTGACCGACCGATAGTGGTCACGGACCTTTGCATCCCTAACTTTTTTACTCGTTTAAATTTACTAAAATTTTTTAAATTTTTGTAGCTTATGCCACGCAGAGTTAGATATATATAAAAATTAGTACTTGGATTGTTTTATTATTCCGGATCTAGTAAAGCATTTGGTATCAACTTTAAAAATTCACGAAATGAAATATTTTGAAACATAAACGGAGTTTTTGCTATGAAAATCTGTTTAATTTAGATATCTCTAAATTACCATTCGTAATATTGGGTTGTATTACGGACACTTTTTTTTGTTGAATTTCATTAGTCTTACTTTTCGTTGGTTAAAATTGAATTTAGTGAGATTTAACAAATTCGAATCAATTGACGCTTTGATTTTAAGAGAACAAAGTAATTTTTATTGTTAAATATTATTTTCTTTGAATAAAACCGACTTCATAATTATCAATAGACGCAAAATCAAATGAAAAATAAAATAAACCTAATGACAACTTCACATTTTCCTACAATAATAATTTTATTGAAATTTGTAAAGATTTTAACCAAAACAAATTATCAAAATACGCTCGTCATTTATTTGGGGAGAAATAAAGGTTCATAAGCTAATTAAAATCTATAGTCTTTATAGCATTTATAACACGACAACACAAGTAAATGCAAAACAAATTATAAATCGACTTCTCGACTTGTTGTCATTGTCACATTTCTCCATTACACATATTATATCTTTCCATCCCTTTTCGAAATATATATTTCCCAAAATATGGCCACAATTATTAAACAAAGACGTAATTATGCATGTACTGTATGTTATTGAGGGGGGTCTAATTTGGAAATACGATTTATTTGCACATTATGATAAAGAACAAGTTTCACATGTTATGATTATCATTTTAATTTCTTTGTACAAATATAGAAAGCTTTAAAGGATTCGAAATTCCTTTTTAATGACAAGACAATAATATGGGTGTTTCAAATAATAATAATATCTAATGTTAAGCGCGCGCTAATTCGATAAAATTTATAATCAAAAGCGGAAATTTAATTTAAAATAAATGAAAAGACAGGGTAGGCTCCTTAAACCAATGTAATTAGAAGATCGGAAAATCTTTGAAAGCAAAGTTTATATTGTTTATGTGACGCTCATCAGATCATGTGACTCATGATATTACAATTTTTTATTAATTCTAGATCCATTCTTTAATCCATACTAATTCTAAAATAAAGCTACCACATGATTAATTGTCTAATTTTCAAAGAGAGGGTTCTTTTTTATAATAAAACTACCCGTGAGCGAAGTCCTAACCCGCGAAATTCCAACCGATTTTCGATATTATAATTTAACTATCAACTTCGAAACCAGATTATTTTTTGTACTAAACTTTTATATTGGCATATATAATTTATGAATCTAAATTAATTAATTATAATTTTTGCCAGAATTAAGAAAAACACGGTGTTACGCCTGAAAACCAAACCAACAAGCAAATAACTCAAAGGCAGTGCCTAAGAAAAATTATGACAAATAAACAGCTTATTACGATTCAATGAAGATAAGAAGAATATTGAAAATGTATAAATAGTATCTTTATTAAAACCGTAAATCCCAAGACTTATCCAAAATCTTTTCGGAAACCTAACTCTCTGTCGACTCAAGGTCGAATTACATGTCTTTTTATATAAAGTCCTTGACCAATACTAAACTACGCCTTTCTATGTTAATAAATAATACATATTGATTAATAATATAAACTAGATGTATAATGAAAAATAGCTACATAATGAAAATAAGATAAGTTACATGATTATTAATCGTTCCAAAGTTGATAAAGTAG